AGGAGGACAGCAGGGTGTGTGTGACTCTCCTCTGACTGGTTGGTGGTGAGGTAACAGGGTGATGTTCCAGGAATCTCAATCATCAGCCTTCTGGTTCCAACAAGTCTGGGGTCCAAGTGCTTGTGCTCAGCCTGAAGTCCTCTTCCATGTGGGCTGGGGCCTTAGTTCCTGTAGAAGAACTCAGAGATGTATATCAAACTGTTATGCACATCCATCCCTCCAGGAAGAACTAGGACCAGGACCCATCCTGGTCCTAGGCTGTTTCTGCAGCCTCTCACTCCCCTAATTAGTAACTGTTTGAATCTGCCCTTTGGAACTCAAAGAAGGTCTAGGAGGTGAAAGCCATTTTCCTATAAACAAGAAATGGGGGACACAGAGAGCACTTTGTACCTGGATGAGGGGCACCACAGGGTCCTGCTCAGTTTCAATCCCCCCTTTTCTTTGATACTTCTCAACCTTGAGGGGTGGCAGAAGAACTTGGTTTTAGGGGGACTTGGTTTCATTACAACTTTAAGAGTTTCATAATTTGTATCCCTACCTCTGTCCTTCCTGCAGACTGCCACTTTCCAAAATACAGAATTGCAGAATTGTTCTGTTGGAAGGACCTGTAGAACATCTTATCCTTCTAATTTGTAAATGAGGAAACAGAGGTCCAGAAAGTGGCAGACTTGTTACTATACCCAAGGCCTTCTAACTTTGTCTCTGATGCATTATGACACTTGCAGCCCCCCACTATGCTTAGAAGCCCCCATGGCTTCCTCTACCACGTGTAAAAGACAAAGCTCTTTGCTAACCAGCCACAGAAGACTTTGCATAATCAGGTACTTGTCTACCTTTTCAAACATACCACCAATTGTTCCTCTATATAGCTTACTTTCCTTTCTGCCACTCTACTCTCTGGTCTTTGAACTGCCCACATTTACCTTATGCATTTTTGCTGGGGGATCTTTAGGGTTTTTGTTGCTGTTGTTTATCTCACCTAGAACATCTTTCTCTAGTTTTATCCCCTGTTGTGGATCTTGCATTTTAAAATTCAACGCATACATGCATTTTAAAACATTGTGTTGTTGAATGAATATATGAAACATTTAGCCAGTTTTCCTCATATTGCCTATGGCTAAACTCCTTTTGATAGAAGTCAATAACATTCACCACCATATTCTGAAGTTTACACAAAAAATGGACAATATTGGGAAATATTTACTTGACGTGTTCAACTCTCAAAATGCAGTGATTTCTTAACATTTGGCAGTTTTAACCTACTAATTGCTCAATTGGTAAACCATGCATTTGATCTCCTGATCTCCTTAAATGACCCCATCTCCTGTGCCTTCCCAAAGTACACATCGCTCCTGATTTTCTCTGACTTGAAGTCTGGTGGGTAGAGACTGGTGAGAAAGAGGAGGAATGCGGAAGTCACAAGGAGAAAAGGAAAGGCTAGAAGATACTTGAAGAGAATGAATTTGTAATATTGCCTCAATCAAAGATAGAGATTAGAGAATATGACACAGAGACCTGAATTCTTAAAAGAGAATTTGTATTATAGTCATTATTTAAAATATAAATTGAACCCAAGAGTGATTTTAACATTTGGTTTCTGGACACTAAGCCTGGAAACCAGTATTCAACAGTTTAAAATAATTAGAAAATCAAATGGCTTTATTAGAAAATGAAGATTTCTTGGCCCATAACTTGCTGCACTGAATTTATTAGCCTTTATTATGGACTCAGCTCCCCTCTGTTCTAATGGGATCTGCTAAAGAATTTTTAGAGATCTCTATAGAATTAAAATTTACTTAAAAAAGATAAAAATTAACTTGTAAATTCTGAACTATAACGTGAACATCAAGCACAAAGTCTTAAATTAAGTGATTAGTTGCTTATCCATTGTTGATAAACTATGATATTCGGGAGATATCCCAGTGTATTATGTTAAGTTCTAAAGGCCTGTGTAGTCTTTAAGTAAGTTGATCATTAAAAAACAACAGAATTTAAGTGAATGTCAATAAAACCAGTGAATTATAAATATGCTCTCTTCTAGCATATTTGATCAGAGCTGTCAATAAATAAAATTGTATTGCCTAGAATTTCAGGCATGAATACTAATCTATGAATTTATTTTAATGTTCTATCAGAGGACCCTAGGAGAATATGAAAACTTTGGACATCTGTTGAGTTACTAATATAAAACTGGACACATGCACCTTTCAGGAAATAAAATGAAATTCTTAATGTATTTGTATTAAAATACTGTTTATATATATATGGCTAGCATGATTTTTGTACATGAAAATCCAGGTTAGCTAAATGAACTACTCTACATCCTTCCCCGTTTTTCCCCATACTTTGACTCACACATTAGCTGGTATTTCCGATAGTAAAATTGATTCTTGCCACAGAATACATGTCTCTACTTCCTTTCCCCAAACAACTCAAAACCACTAAACTAAATAAAGTGGCAGAGTTTCATCCAACCCTGTGCTGCTGTCATCCTGTCTCCAGTGGGATGATGATGAAGACTGAGCTAGGAGCAAAAGAAAAATTTCTTGCAGAGAGAAGAGCTCTCTTCAGTTTTTGTGCCCCCACTCTCGCCGCCCCTGCCCCCCACCAACACGTCACACACCAAACTCTATAGGAGTGTAGCCCCTAAACTGGTCCAGAAAGTGGCAGACTTGTCACTATACCCAAGGCCTTCTAGCTTTCTCTCTGATGCACTATGATACTTGCAGCCCCCAACCTGCTGGGAGGAAAAGTCCCCAACTCCCACAGATCACTTCCCAGGAATCCTTACAAATGCTACCAGATTGATCATCTGCCTTCACATGATTTGAGACGGTTCGTAATTTACTGTCCAGCTGAAAGCACTCATGTTATGAAGGAAAACTACATATGTTCTTTAAATCTATTATTTTAAAATATTTTTGGTCACTTTAATGTACGCTTTAGGTTCAGGCATTATTTGGGGGGGTTTGTTTCCAAATAATGAAATAAAGTATTGATTATAAACAACTGAGCTGATAACACTTGCCCACCAGCTGGGGTGTCCATGTAGAGGGGAAAAGGTGTGAGGGTGGACACAATGTTATTGATTCCAGGTCCGCAAGGAGAGAGAGGCTGTGTACTCTCCAAAGTAAGGAATGTCAGAGGAGAATATCTTTCATTAAAAGGCCTGCAGGGAACAAAAAGTCAAACAAAGAAGAAACAACAGCAGCAAGAAAACAACAAAACCCAAGTCCCACTTAATTTCTGGTTTCCGGTGGCTTCAGGAAGGGACAAAGTAAAAGCCTGTTTTCAGGGAACAACGTTCTAAAATACTGTATTTTAGAAAAACCAGGCTTGCAGAAATCACCCAGTATTGTCACTCCAAGCAGCTGAATGTGTTTGGGGAAGTAAGTTTGTAACATTGTGCACCTTTTAAAACTGCAGTTGAGTACTAAATAATGGAGTAGTTTTGTTCGTAAGCAATATTTATTTTTCATGAAGACAGGAGGCATATTACATTTGTTATAGAAAATGCTACAAGACGAAAAAGCTGCATGTTACTGATATGACAAAAAGCATGAAAAATTCTACTTACAAAAGTGCTCTGCCCTATAAGAACATATTGAACAGAAGGCATTATTCCAGGTGTGTGAGCCATGCAGAAATGAGGATTTATTAGGATTTATTTTGGATGTAATTTGTACGGTGAGATTTTATCCCTTTGATGGCAGTGAAACAGATTTATTGGCTATATGTTAGAAGTGCAATAGATAACAGATAACCAAGGGAGAAGTTTTAATAAAACACTCAGGAAAGAAAAAAAGAGGTGAGTGAATATGCCTGCTTACATTTCAGCTAATAAATAAAAAGTACAGATGGGGCTTTAACTGAAAACCATCTTGGTTATTGCAACCTGGAAGGTTTATTGAAAATTAGGTAGAACACTCTAATTCTTCATACTTACAGCTGAACAAGCTAGAGTGATATAACACAAATTTGGGTTTTGGTACAGGAAGGCTATGTTTTCATAGGAAACTTGTAAGAGGCATGAAGGGGAAGAGTGGTTCCTGATTACTAGAGGGTCTGCCTCAGCTATTTCTGATTGTGATCTGGGATTTCGGGCAACTCAGCAATAGAGTATTTATTTTTACCAGTCATCCCCCGAGGTAAATACACTGGACACTTTCAGGGAATTTTTGAAGGAACATCTTCAATAAGCATTGGCCTTTCAAAGAGCTGAGCAGAAATGAGCTCCTAAGCATGGTTGAGAACTTGGTCCTGAAAGCACCACGCTCAGAAATCCAAGTATATTTAGGCCACTCCTCTGACACTGGGACTTAATGAGCCCCAGTCACATAGCCCTCACTCAACTTGGCTGTAGTCAGTAGGGCCCTGGACTCAGGGAAGAAACTGGCTCTCCTATTTTCTTTCAAGGTGAGAAGAAAATTGTCATTCTCTCTGAGCAGCCCCTGAGCTATCCTGATTTCAGTGTCACTCTCTTAAGAGACTTGCTTTGGAGAATGATGAATCACTTCTTATGCCTGGAGTCAGTCTCTGAGGTCTTAACAGACATTAAGGAGCCAGGGAGGAAAAATTACTCTAAGTACCAATAATAACCCCCAGTGCAAAGATTGCTTTCTATTGTAGATCAGGGCCGAACTTGTGCACCCACAATTTCCAGTGTGGCTTCTTAGAACAAGCTCCATAGATTTGTAAAGAACCAGAGACCCCAGATCTAATTTCACTTAGTTCAGAAACAGGAATTCATCTGAATTGAATGGTGAGTGAGTACATGATTAGGAATCTACATCAATAAAACTGGGTTGTTTTAATACACAAAAGCTTCTAGGCTATAAATAGTCCACAATGGCTTGCCAAATATAAAATGTCATTGTAAATCCATGTCTGTATATTGAAGAGACAGAAACACAAAAGCAAGATACGTAAAATTAACTGGCATAATTTGGAGAGTATGTATCCATTATTAAATATGGATCCCATTCAAATATTCCATCTGATTCCCAGTTATGTTAATATTTCAATGCTCACTTTTTTGACTTTCAACTGCCCACATTTTTCAATGAACATTATTTTGAGAGGCTCATGCAGAGTCCTCATGCCATTCTCCAAAGGAGTTACTTCTGTGGAGAGGTTTTTGAAAAGAAACAATGCTGCTATAGCTTATAAATTGTCTCTCATAGGATTATAATAATAAACCTTGTGAGAATTTTTTGGAGACAGGTGTTAATGAATTTACATGTGTCAGCAAGACACATAAAAAGAAGCCTAATGGCTTTATTTCTAAAGCACTTATATTATTATGACATGCTTTTGGAGACAGGTAATTATTGTCTATATAGCCAAGTATGTAGTACATCTCATGAGAAAAATGGTTAGGAATGTGCTTTTCCCAGAAACCATATTTTTTCTTTTTTTATAATTAAGATATATGCATAAGAAAATCTCATTTATTGGTTTTTAATATACATGGTGCTTTCTTTAAAAGAGCAAGATCCAAAATTGTTTTGTGATTCAAAACTTAAACAAATTCATCTTCCAAATCTTCAAAGACATGTTCCATGTATTTACTATGTCCCTTATTTTGTCATATTTTAAGGGTCTAGGTAATTAAACCATATGTAAGCTCTGGTGTACCTGGTTATATATACTGAATAAACCATATGATCTATTTACACAGAGACATGGATATATATACATATATATCCTCAGACACTATTATTAAATGCAATCCTATATTCTTGGATATAGAGATTGATGATACACCTTTCTACTCATGGCACTAACAAAGCTAGGTTGAAACTCAGCAGCCACTTGTATTCATTGCTTTGCAAGCTAATAGTAAGTTCGGTTGCTGGTGGGAAAGGGGTCCCTTACCACACCACCCTCCTTAAAATAAAGGTTCTTTCATGCTTAATGTAAGTATGTGCACATTCTTTTATCGAGGTGGTCTTGAGCTGCAGATACAGTCGCACCGCTCATGGTGATCTAACTGGATGTCAATGAGAGCCATGTGCTTCGCTCTGCCCCTCCTCTTGAAATGGCCAGGCTCAAACTTTAACACCTAGGACAAAAAGCATTTCCTGTTAGAAAGCACCTGGAGTATGACTCAACTACATACCACTTATTCTCTTTATGACAACTGGTTCTTAAGCCTTTGAGGATCCAATGAAAGCTATGTGCTCGCTCTTAGATTGCACACATGTAAATATTTTTACAGACAATCATCAACTCCTTAAAGTAATGGAGTTCACTGATCATAGAGTAATGCCTCCTGCATTACCTACCTGCAGTACCATGATGACTTCAGGTATCTGAGCAGGTATTTACTGAGAGCTTTCTAAGGGCCTGCTTTGTGCCAAGTGCTGTCCCAAATATTATCATAAGGATTCTTCTGACCAAAGCATGTGTTATGGATAAATATAATACTGAGCATATTATTATCTCTTTAGACAGGACAACGAATAAAGTCATGAACATAATATGCTGGTATGGCTAAATGTTTGGTTGATGTAAAACATTTTGCCCTGACGAAGGTCATTAGTGGCCATAAATAACTGAAAATGTGTGTATGTTCTTACATATTTGTTAAGATATAATACCTATTACAATTCGAAACAGATCATGCTCCACTAAGATCTTTGTACATTAATACCTGTATAACAGTATGACATTTCTTGAATTAATAAAGTATATCCTTAATTTTTTACATTAATAGGTTTAAATGTAATATTTTGAATTATTAAGTTTAAATAGGAGCTAACTCTTCTTCCCTAGTGTGGCCTTCACTGAAGTCAATATTTGCCATCATATGCACAAATACTGGTTTTCTATACACTCCACAGTCAGTTTAATTGCTTCTTGTTTTATATTCTGAAGCTCCTGTTAGCCTTTATTTTTGATTTTGTTCTACTTTCCCTTTTAGACTCTAAACTCTGCATGACACCACATGCTACACGTATTATGTAGCATTTTACAGTTTTCAAAGAATTTGCACAGATGCACTATTTCGTTTGCTCTCAGACAAACCTTGTCACACAGTAGAGAAGGTATCTTTATTCACAATTTATAGGCAGGAGAACTGAGATTCCAAAGGAGGCCAGGCACCAGAGTCTTCTGGCAACCTGGAGCTGGGAGCAGGGCTTTTGTCCTCTAGGCTTCTAGCACACTCGAACCCAAGGACCCAACACCTCTCCAATGTGGTTACGATTTCCTTTTGTGTCTCAAAGCTGTGTCAGGCACACATGTAAACTGAAACGGGGACCTGATGCTTGGTATACGTTGGTCCCAGATGAAGATTAGATGCTTTCAAGGCTGTATAACTTTTCATGGCATCCCCACAAATTTTTACTATGAATTGTCTTCCCAGCAATTTTCTCATCCTCACATTACCTGTTTCAAGTCATAAACAAACCAAAACCATCTATTAGGACACTAGGCCTAGAGTCCTCAGTCCTCATGTGTCCCCTTTACTTTAGCATTTAGCCCTGTTGTTCCATAAGAGTTCTGTGGGGCAGGTCATTTGTTCAATGTTCAATAAAGCTAAGGAGCCTGGACTCTGCTAACACAGAGTGAAATACCGAGTCCCATTTGTAGAAGAGCTTCAAAAGAATATTGTGAATACAAAACTGGGGTGGGTTGGGTGGGAAGGAATGCCCCAGGAGAGTTCATGAGGGAGGCATAAAGACTCAAAACTACTTGATTGTAGTAAAGCTAGTCCAGATGCCAGTTTTGATAGCTAATTATCTTTTTTACCTGCAATTCTACTGCACTTACACTATGTATCACATAAGTTCACATGACGTATGATGCTTTCTCTCTATTAATTGTATTACAAGTGCCTTGAGGACAAGGATAGCAAAAACAATCACTAACATTATTGAGTTTTTAATAGATGCCACACACTGTTGTGACTTTGCAATTATTAAATGTTTTGGATGTCACGCAATACTATGAGATAGGTACTTTTCTAATTTTATTCCCAGATAAGGAAAGAGAGAGCCAGTGACTGGTGTAACCAGTATTTGACTCCATATGGCCTAACTAGTGCCCTTACCTGGAAATTGAAATTTTGTTTGTGCAGGTCAGCAGCATGTTGGGAACAAAGTAGCTGCTAAAGAATGTACCTGGGTGAACGTGGTGGGTGATGCTGCCAGTGCAGAAGTATGGGCACGTATGTTCACAGTGTCTCCTCCCTGTATCTCCTCTACCCTAACATCCAACAAACAGATGGGGCAAAACAAAACAAGCCAAGAAATTAAGCAGAGGCCAAAATGAAGTGGCCTATGCTTTGCATCACTTTTAAGCCTTTCACAAATGTGAAATAAAATTTCAAGTATCGAGAGCAGAATGACAATGACATTTGCCTTTCCCTGCTCCCATGTTCTCTCTTGCTGGATCTCTAAAGAAAATAAAAGCTGTTGCGTCTCTAAAAAAAAAGTAACCAAAGCAATGGATGAAGAGTATATTGCATTTTGGGGTATTAAATACCCTGCCCATGACAGATATGAAAGCCCTACTGTGCCATATTTGGTCAAAATGCCTTGGAAGGGGTTAAGGGTTGGGTTCCTACAACTTTGCCAAGAATTTCTCTAGTATTAGTCACTGTTGTCCAGCCTATAAACCAGATTTGGGAGTTGGAATATTCAGGGTAAGAAAATGATTCCTAAGAAGCTGAGCATATGATAAATATTCTCTGTTTAAAAAAGACCATTATCAAAGCCTAATATGTTGCCATGACTGATATCTATAAAATCAGTGCTCTGTTGATTTGCTTCCTCTTTTGACGACAAATGAAAGTGTGTGCTTTGGGATGAGAGCAGAGCCTGGCCAGTTTTTCTAACTGGTCTCCTGATTGTTCAGGGATTTTCCCTGTGTTTTATATTAAGCCTTGTGAGCACAGTATATATGTGTTTTGCTGATAAGAGGAGAAAAATGAATTGGCAGACACTTTTCCAGACAAGACAGGAAAGCGTTGTTTGAACAAAGTGGAAATTGGACTGCTTTACTGGCTGATCACAGCACTGATGTTCAAAGCTTTCAGACCATGTAATAGTCTTAGGTTCAGGTATACAGCATTGAAAGGAGGAAGAAAGCAAAGCTGATTTGAGAGAGCATGAAAAGTTGAAAGAAAAATGAAAAGCCTTTATCTGAGAAAGCAAACTGTCTATGGGTTATCTGGTCACCTTTAAAGGAAAGGAACCATTGAATTAATTACAGCTGCCAAAGGACACACTAATAGGTACCATCACAAAATGCTTTCCTATTTTCTGAGCTTTGATTCGCAGCTGCAAGCACACACACTGAAATAAAAATCCACGGAAGAGCAGCCAGCCCTTTCTTATCACCTATGGGTGAAAATGGCAATCTTGGCCCTTCTCCACCATCTGGAAAACCACATGAAGCCAAGGAAAGTTGACTTTTACTAAATGCAGAATGACTGAGCCAGCAGCTTTCATACCACTACACAAAATCAAAGATTCTCAGTTTGCAAATTACCATAACACAAAAGATATTTAACTACGGTTACTCGCCTTGCTGCCGATAAACCACTGAATGAATCATTGCCGAAAAGCTATTACACTAATAAAACAATACTAGGCAGAAAAGCTATCTGCCAAGTTGAGTTCTTGTTTACTGGGAATATAAAAAAGGTTGTTAAGGCCTTGACAGTTCTCAAATTAATGGCTGACATAGGAACACAAGTACATATTTCAGGACACATGCATTGTATAAACCTGAATGATTAAGAGTTTATTTAAGGTTCTACCCAACTCCTAAAGCAGGTAGCATTCAGTACACATAGTTTCTTATCTTAAGAAAAGAAAACCTTTATATTTTTTGCTTCCATTTTGATTTCTTTCATGCTTACAGACTTTATGAAAAATGTTAAGATTTTTAAGGACTGGTAGTCAACTTTTCTGAAACCCAAAGTGACTACAAGCAAAAATATTTTGAGAAGGGATAACATATTATTTTCTACCTGGGTCATTGCTCATCTTGCAGGTGATAGTTTCAAGGGAAGCTGAGACATAGTCCTCAATAAGAAAGACACAAATAACAGAGTTCAGCACTGTTTTGCTGACAAGCAAAGTATGAAGGTGACCAAAGCGGGGGTTATACTATGGGTCTATACAATGCTCATGAATTTTCAAAATGCAATCTTGACCTCTAAAAGTAAGTGAACATTTACTTATAATTGAAATTTTTTGTGAGCACTTTGGGGTGTCTTTAGCCACAGTTCTACCTTCAGAGAACTAAACAGGTAAATGATTTTGACAGCACTTTAGAGGGTTAATGACTACACGTTCAGCCCACCAATTGCAGAAAACATAATGGAAGCCTAGCTGGCCACCAAGTTTCAAAGCACTGCATTAGCATTGATTATCATTCATGTCACAGATAGGTCTTTGTCTACCTGGGGAGTACCATGCCCCAAGGCAGGTTTGCTAAACTTTGGCAGGAAGGCCTAATGTGAAGCCAGAGCTCCAAGGGAAAGGATGTATGTACTTTGTAGTACTTGGAGAATCACTTCACCAGTGAGTCATTTGGGCCATAAGGGAGTCAGAACTGAGAAGGCCCAACCACATTCTCAGAAAATTCCACCCACATCTGTCTAGTGCTTTACAGTCTTCAGATGCTTTCATTCTACCAGGATCCCCAAGAGATAAGTAGCACAAGTATTACTACCGAAGAGCGAATAAACTTTTTTATAAGCATTCTATAAACAGTAACTGTTCCAGATCATATATCTTTGTTCTTTTGCATTTACTTAGCACTTCAACCACTAATTTGTTTACATTCCTAACACAATTTCAGTAAAATAAGATCTAGGGAGTAGGTGAATGGATATCATATAATTTCAGATCTGTCTGGGAACTCAAAATTGTAGGTTATCGTGGGGAGTAAGTGAGCAAACTCAAGGCCCTGGGGAGTTTTAAGTAGCTGGCCCTAGGTGGTCTCCCATGTGAGCCCACATTTTCTCTCTTGAGTTGTGTGATTTTTTTTCTCTATTGTCTTGTCTCTTCTAAGAACACACAGGAAAGGCCTGCAAGAGAGTTGTCTCATGGTCTCACTCAAAGAGGGAGAAAGGGGAAGAAGCAGGGAGACTCTATATAAGCTCTAGAAATGCTGTTTCCAGAAAAAGAATAGAAAAGAGATTTTCTTGACTTTTGTTATGGTTAGTTATAATCATAACCCCAAAACTCATTGCCTTTGACATAGAGTAGAAACCTTTTGAAAAAAATTGCTTTCCTGTCTCACTGGTTTCAATTTGCAATTTTACCTAAATTTGTTTCAATGATAGATGCTTAAAACATGTAAAAATTAAAAGTACCATTCTTTCATCTCAAGTCTAAAGCTCAACATTTTATTACCTCTAGTTAATCTTTTGTTTCATATATATAAATATCTGCTTACATCTTTTAACTCAAACTGTAATGGGCAGCAAATTTTTAATATAAAATTTGTATACTTAAAGTAAAGTTAAAAAAAAAGGATCCTCCGAAGTCATTTTTTCAAGCAACAGGAATGATTCTAGATGTTGTAAATATGCCAGACACAGAGATGTGTCTAGGCTTATGCTGTTCAATATGGTATCCCCTAGCCATGTGTAGCTATTTACATTAAATTAGTTAAAATTAAATAAAATTAAAAATTCAGTTTCTCATTTGCATTACACACATTTCAAATATCCCATAACCACATGTTGCTAGTGACTACCAGATTGGATAGTACAGATATGGAACATTCCTATCACTGCAGAAAGTTCTACCAGATAGTGCAGGTATATCAGCATTGTGACAAAATCATGAGAGGAAGGACAGAGAAAATTAACTTCTATCTTTCTCTCTCTGTTGCCTCCTAAGTTTTTGGCTGTTTACTGAATGGACATAGCCAGGAGACCAAACGGTAAAAAAATAAACCAGTAAATATTAATTTAAAAGGTCACCATATTTTTAGGAAATATCCCTTCATTTCACATTATCAAGGAAAGATAACTAAAATAATAGCATCCTCTAATTGTCTACACAATATGTTTTCTGGAACTTTCCCTTTTTAAGAATCACTACCAAAAGTATTTTTTTATATCCCACATATTCCAAGAAGCATAGAAAGGTTAATAGGAAAAAGGAAAAATACTTTAACAGGATGCCTACAAAATTTTGAGAACAGGAAATAATAAGATGGTAATATTTTATTGCACAGTGAAAAATGCTCAGAGCCCTACAGGAGAAGTCGCATGACCTGGGAAAAGAGCAATGATATTAACTTCCTTCTATTTATAATTTCTAATTATCGGTAATTTTATAATTATACATTTTTTTTTTTTTTTCTTGCGTTATGCGGGCCTCTCACTGTCGTGGCCTCTCCCATTTGCGGAGCACAGGCTCCGGACGCGCAGGCTCAGCGGCCATGGCTCACGGGCCCAGCCGCTCCGCGGCATGTGGGATCTTCCCGAAACGGGGCACGAACCCGCGTCTCCTGCATCGGCAGGCGGACTCTCAAGCACTGCGCCACCAGGGAAGCCCTATAATTATACATTTTTAATTTCTTGGATTTTATTCCTTAAATGCTGAGCTTTGAAATATCTGTGGAGTCATACAGGCCTGCTTATGTGACAAGTTCTAGTCACCCCCTTAAGGGTGCTCATCTCTCATGAAAACTCATTTCACATCTCATCAGTTACAACCAGGAGCTGGGGAAACCAGTTTCTCATTTCTCTGAGTTAAGAATACAGACATAGAACTAATAGAATAGAGGATAAAGATTCTTCCCTAATGAGACTGAGCTCAAGCAACCCCCACTTCTGCAAATGGAACAAGCCTCCTGCTCTTTTCCACAGGACACTGGACAGAGTGGTCACTGTGACACATTTCAAAGGTATTTTAGGAGTTTGGGGGAAGTGTGCCAGCTGTGTGTGTTCCAGGTATGCAGTTACTGACAAAACAGGTATGCTGTTTTGTCCCTTTGTCCAGAACTCAGCAGAGTGACTTTGTACAGAGCTCAGCAGACTCCGAGAAGTAAAAATATCATGACATGTTTCAAAGACGTGATTTAGACAGCAGTTTCAAAAATATGCCAACATTTTAGACCCACTCAAAGAGATCAAGGGCTTCCTCTTCTAGATATTAATTGTGAACAGAAATTTACAGGTAACAGCTACTGTGTACAGAGATGAGAATAGACCTAAGAAAAGGACCCTTCAGGCTCCTTCAGAGTTAACTGTCTGGGAGGTGAGGGTCCTTTTGGGTGTATGTTTAACTCTGTGTTTCTACAATAAGCAATTTAAAAAATCAAACTGCAACTTCTATCTGAGTGGAGAGTCAAGATGGAAATAAACCATCAAAGGCCTGAACTCACATGTTTTTCCTCACAGTTAAGACTACGTAGAGATCTTGTCACTTCCTGGCTTATTTTAACTTGAACCAAATTACTGAATTCGGCATTTGTCCTCAGGGTATGACTCAACAATACAAAATTCACGTTCTTAGACACAAAGGACAAAGCCCAATCTAGAGTTCATCAGGTCATACAAAAATAAAACACAATGAACACAGTCAACAGCATTCTCTGGATATGAGAACAGATATTTTTTTTACTTTGAAAACTGTGGGGTGGAGTAAGAAATTCTTGTGACTAAGAAAACCAGCTCTAGGCAGGTCTAAAATCGTGTGTCCCTGTCTGTCTGAGGTAAGCAGGGTTATTATGGTCTCCGACCTCCTGCATTTCCCAAGTTGAAAATACTGCTTATGACGTATCCCTTTTCATTTAGCTCAGAAATTACCTCCTAACTTATTGTTTTATTGTTTTCAGGATAACAAAATGGTTGTATAAAGCGCGAGATTTTTATTTAGGGAGCACCATCTATTCCTTTGTTTTGGTGGATACTGATGAAAAGCAACTCAAACAATAATTCCTAACAATAGTGTTTGCTTCATACTTTATATATATATAT